GGCTGGGTGTTTCCAGTAGTCGGAGATGAGTTATAAGGGGTTATTCGAGAGGAGGAGAGGGGTTACGTGGGTTAGGGGAAGGGGGAGAGGAAGGGTTACGGTGGTCAAGGGGTGGCCAGCCGTTTTCGGGGGTTAAGAGGCGAGGATGGTCGATTTCCGTTGGGGTTAGGGGTCGGTGGGCGAGGTTTCACGGTGAGGTTAGGGGTGGGGGAAGAGAGGGAAGAGGGTGGCTGGGATTGGTTTTTTCCTTTAAAATTTTTTTTTCTTAAACTTTTAAAAAAAATTTGGAGCAAATCACATACTGACAGGTGGTTTTAAAAAGAATTTACTCTTTTAGCAGGGTACCGCCAGTCATTGGGATTACTAGAGACAAAGTGATTGCAAAGTTGGGATTATGAGGTAATAATTGCAAAGTTTAGATTATTAGAAGTAAATCCCCCATATTTGAGATTATTATAATGAATTACCCTAAAGTGTTTTACATTATTTCCAAACAAATAATATTTTTACACATTTAAATAGAAATGAGAAAAGTAAAATGTTTATGTATGTCACTAGCTCTTAGTACAAGTCTGTCTCATAAATTAAATGAACAAATTTATAGTTGGTTGAGCACAAGCTTACAGGTACAACCGTTGTATGGTGCATGAGCCTCTCTGCATGTAACATGGACACTGTAATTATATTTTGGTACAATGCACATATATTTAAAAGGAAATAATTAATCACATCTTTATTATAATATTATATACAAACCAAAAATTAAGATATGATGATCATGGGATTTCTTTAAGAGATTATGGGATTTCTTTTGCTATATACAAACTAAAAATTACATTCACTAACCCTCCCTCATTAGAACTTTGAAATTTATGAGATCATGGGATTTCTTTTGCTACTTTTAAGCTCTTAGAAAAGACAAATATTCTTTCTTTACCCTTAACTAAATTTTACCTTAACATTGTATCCATGTAAAAAAGGAAGAGATATGATGATCGGACGTTAACTTGCTTAAAATCTAGTGTTAAGGTCGCCCATAAGCAGTTTGAATCTTAACCGAACAATACAAACTAAGATTGTTGCATAAATAGCTCATGTATGTTGATTATTCTAGCTAGTAGCCTTACAACCGTAAATTCAAGTAAATAGATCGGGTTATGGTCGGGTTAGTGAGGGTCAAGTTAACTCGGGTTGGGTTAATTCGGGTTAATGTCATAACCTATGCGAGTTGGGTTCGGGTTTGGTCATGCTTGAGTCAGGTCACGTCGGGTCATTCATCTTATCGGGTTTGGGTCGGGTTTAGGCCAGGTTGGGTCAATAACAGGTCGGGTGAATAAAAGGTCGGGTTTAATTCGGGTTTTAGTGGGTTAAAACAAGGGTCATTCTCGAGTTCGAGTCGAGTTCGGTTCAATTCAATAATTTGCGGGTTATAATTAGGTAGGGTCATTTCCAAGTCAGGTCATATTTGGGTTTGGGTCTCAAATATTGGGTATATGTGGGTCTCGGGTTGATTTCAGGTCGGGTCATATCGGGTACGGGTACATTTTTTGGGTCGGTTTGTTAACAGTTCATGTATTGACGTTCACGTTTACTCATTTTCAATTTCTTCATTTATTGTAAGAGAAATAATTTCAGATAAGTTCATATTCGAGCTAATAAATTTAAATTACATTTTTTTTTCACTTATTTTTGGTATAATTTCAAATTCGAACTAATGAGTTCATATAAATTTAAGATAAGATATAATAAGTTCATATTAATTCTGGTAAGATAGGTTTAGTTAAGATTTTTGGAAGATAAGTTCAGATCCTATTCTGATCTATTTTTCATTGGTTTCTCTCATTTTAGGAAACAATTTCTGATTAGTTTATATTCAAGTTAATAAGTTCAAATAAGTTTATATATATATATATATATATATATATATATATATATATATATATATATATATATGTGTGTGTGTGTGTGTATATATATATATACACAATATATATGTGTATGTACATATATATATATATACATATATATATATATATATATATATATATATATATATACACACATATATATATATATATATATGTGTGTGTGTGTGTATACTACCTCCGTTTTTTTTTATGTGCAACTTTGAGGAATATTTGTGAGACATAAAATATACCAAAGTTGCACATAAAAAAAACGGAGGTAGTATATATATATATATATATATATATATATATATATATATATATATATATATATATATATATATATATATATATATATATATATATATACACACACACATATATGTATGTATGTATACATATATATATATACATACATACATATATATATACATACATACATATATATATATATACATACATATATATATATACATATAAAAGTTCATATTAATTCCAGTAAGATAGGTTTAGTTTAGATTTTTAGAAGATAAGTTCAAACCCCATTCTGATCTATTCACATTGATTCCACTCATATTAGGGATAACAATTTCATATAATCATATTCGAGATGACATGTTCAAATAAGTTTAGATAAAAATACAATAAGATCATATTCGAGATGATCTTGAGTGTTTGGGTCAAGTTAGCTCAATTTGAGTCAATTTGAGTTAATTGCATTACTATTCAGGTCGGGTTACATCAGGTTTGGGTCGGGCTGAAAACAGATCGGTTGACTTCGAGACGGATTAGTAACAGGTCGGGTTGAATTCGGCTCGATTTAGTAACAGATCGGGTTGATTTTGGGTTTCAACGGGTCAAAATGGGTTTGGGTCAATAATCTCGGTTTCGGGTTGGGTTCGATTTTGGTCAATAATTGACGGGTTATGTTCGGGTCGGGTCATCTCAGGTCGGGTCATGTTCGAGTCACGAATCCTAAGATTAACTCGGGTCTCGGGTTAGTTTCAGGTCAGATTATATCGGGTTCGGGTCACTAATTTCTCGAGTTCAAACAGATGAGGGCATGATCGAGTTCGGGTAAAATTTTCGGTCGGATCAACTTTTAGCCTCTAATTAAGAAGGTGTTTCATTTCTTCCGAGCCTGTTGTTTATTATCAGATGTAATAGGTAAAAGGGGTGTATTATGTCATAAATCTTCGAAGGAAGAAAACAAACTAAGAGTAAAAAAATAAGATTTGGGATAACATCTTCATAGAATTAACTCGTGTTTTTTAAAGCATTTGTAGATAATATTATTACTACTACATATTCTTAATGGCCTTGAATAGCTAACTTCCTTCAAAGTTTTCCAAAAATTCTAAAGATCAATACAAAAATTCAGACATAATTACCACTTGTCATAACTTAAAATTCGATGCCTCTAATAATTAATTCAAGTCATTACTAACTAAAATTAATGTTCGTGGTATAAAATTGTTCTTAGATGGTATTACCATGATACTAAATTACTTCTTCATTAATACCAATAACGCAAAATACTTGCATTTGTTGATATCAATAGAGTTTTTTGTTGGTATTAAGATAATACCATCAACGTACAATTTTATATCAACGGACGAGTGTTATTACAGTTATTAACGACTCAAGTTACTCGAGTTTGAGAAATGCTCGACATAATAACAAATTTATGCATTTTAATCACGGATATATTTTCTAATGATCCAATCCCTAAATGACATGAGTTCATTTATTTTCTTCAGAATAGATCTCAAGTTTTCTGTTCCACCAAATATTCTTCATCATCAAAGAAAAGAGCCTAACAAAATATTAATCATCTTCCTCTTCACTTCACAAAAGACACAGAAAACATCTACCTGAACTCCTATATGTATTAAGTTCGTTATTACCAAACCATTAATCCAAACTTTAAATTAAAAAAAATTATTAGAATTTTTAAAATCCCATCTACATTGAAATAAGAGAAAAGGACTATAATCGTTTTTTAATAAGAGGAGGTTTAACTTGTGTGGTGATTTTAGGTTTTCTCCTTAATAATTTAAAAACAAAATACCCTTTTTGGTTGTGAATTTCCCCAAAGGAAATTGTTTCCATTACAATAAATTATCAAGGTGTAAACTTTGGAGCTCTATCATCAAAATTACTAGTGCACCACTAAACTCAAAAATTCGTTTAACCTTCTTATCATTCAAACACTGCTATTTTCCATTTTCTAATTATACAAAGAATAATGTTTTAACAAAATCTAGAGGAAAACCTCTAACTAGCCTAATAATAACATATTGTACTCACTTTTTATCCGCAACCAAATCTTCTATGTAATTCCTTCTGAAACAAGGTTTATATCCCTCCTTAAACCTCATAAAGTGAAGGATTTCATCATTTCCTTGGAAAGTCGCATTTTATATGTTTTTAAGGTTTGTATGAAACCTCGCTCTAAACTTTTTCAGGTTTAGAGTATCATTTCAATCTAAAATCTCCATGATTTCTAAGCCTCCTAACCTATTAGGCAAGATAACATTTTATTGTTTATCCATCATATTCTTTTTTCTAGTCGCATTTCCATTATTATTTGCCTAAAGAAAAACAACCACCATTGTGTTTAATTTATTTGTGATGCACATACTTTGGTATGTAGTTTGTATTGAAGAACAATAGGATGTATGACACTATTAATACTAGCTAAAACTGTGTTGATCAAAATAATAACTCTTGCAGTTTATGAGATAATCATATTCCAAATTATACTAAAACAAGGTTGTAAAAACCCTTCTTTTTCCCTTTTACATTAATTGGGACTAAAACCTTTTTTTTTTTTTTTTTCCTTTTCTTTTCTAGTATTAGGTATGAATTTAATAAACATGTTGATTTAATGTCTTAAGATACACCATAAGTGATTAATATCTCTAATAGCCTTACATTAAACCTCATAATAAATAATTGGAAGAAAATATCAAATAAAACCAATCCAAGTCTTTATTTAAATCACAGGCTTGCATAATTACTAGAGGTAAGAACAACAACAAAATAGGGATTGTGAGGATTGGCTCAAACTAAGATACACCCAATAAAGAATCATTCACTAGTATGATTATTCCTTGACGTACTAGCCTCCATCACCCCATCTTCATGACAAAGACTAGAGTTTATTTTTAGATTATCATCACGATTAGTATTTGAATTTTGAAAAGGAGGATTGTTGATGTTATTTTCCCAATTAGAAATCCGATTCTTAACAAGCTTCATTCTTTCTTGTAACACCCTAATCATATAGTCCAAATCGCAGGGAGGGACTTGTTCGAGTGTAGCTCTGCCAGTCATTATGTCGGTGATTATATTTTCCATTTGCAACTCTCGATTCTTGCTTTGAATCCTAGCCAACTTCTCTTCATTCTTCTGTACGGTTTGTTTTAATAATGATTGTTGATCTAATTGCCTTTCCGATTGACCTACATGAGACATACTTTTGTAATTATTGATAATTCGTCTTACTTCTGTCTCAGATGAAGGCCACACCAATGGAACTTGGTCATCTTTTCCGTATATGATAGCACAAGCATCCACGTCACACAACACACTCATTTCCTCAGTCTTTTTTAGTAACCCATGAGATCGATTTGTGAGTGAAGATTTCCTAGAAGCGACATCTTTTATGATTGATAATTTTACATTCTTTCTACTCATTTCTACAATGAAGACTAGAGGTTTTTTTTATAAAAAAAGTTAAAAGAAATAGGGAGTAGGGTTTGAAGGTGGGATGACTTTTAATAAATGGAGGGGTTGATTTTCTTTAGGTATAAGAAGTGGTATTTATAGGGGTAAATCATAAAAAATCTTTAAAAATGTAATCATACAATGAGAGCCACTACAATGAGAGCCAACTTTTGTGTATCCTATTGGATTTTATTGACATCAAATGAGATATCGAATCTTCGTAGGTTTAGTTATAGATTTTTGCTTTCTAAATAGGGTTGATATATTGACATGATGGCTAGGATATGAATTTAATAATACAAGTCGCCGGCTAGTTACGGAGTTCGACCATATTTATTTATAAAAGTAACCATTTTTTTTTATTCATATGAATAACTCGTTTGTTTATAAAGGTAACATTATTTTACCTGTAAGGGTAACTCCAATTCATTATACGAGTATAGTACAATCAAATTATTAAAAAAAACATCATTTGTTCATTCAAATAACTCTATTTATTTGATTTTGGCTATTAAAAATAATTCCAATTGTTTATAAAAGTAAATCGAATTTCCTATTGGAGTCCTCTTAGTAGTTAGTAACACAATTAGATAATCGCAATAACCTCATTAACCCCCATTAATCCGTTTGTTGTCTTCTATATGTGAATTGGCCGCACCATCATCAACTGATAGCTAGTGTGACTGGCCACATAAAAGCTTAGAGTTTATGAATTCGATATCCTCTGTATTGAAACCATATATTGACAATTAATCTAATTTTTTTTTCTCAAATGAAAATCTTGTCTGATCAATACTCCTTGATAACCTTAAAAGAAAAATAATAACTTTAGAAAAAAATTTGGTTAGGGGCACTGAGATGAATTTGAGGGATATATATAGCATGTACATGGTTAGAATTACTTCACATCTTCATTTTTCCTTCCTTAGATTACATGAATATATGCATTGTATATTTGTGTTGTAAGGGAGAACGAACATTATTCCATTAATAGGAAACTCCGCATATATCTTAACTAAAAAAATTTAAAGGCACTTTATTAGAAAAAGGAATTCCTTACTTGAAGATCTTCACAATGATTTAGATTTGTAAAAGAAATGTGCTTGTGGTATGTATAAATGCCAAGAAAGGATAAAACCTTGAACTAACATTACATGAATTAAGTGTTACTAAATAATTTCGTAACAATGATAAATTGAGAAAAAACAAATTATTTGAAGTAATGCTACTCATACATGAACAAATAAATCATCAAATGTGGAACAACGGAAATTTGCACCTAAATTTCACAATCTTAACACATTGATACGTTACTCCCTCCGTTTCGCATTAGTTGCAACAGTAGGCTTGACTCATAGTTTAAGAAAATTATAGACTAGGCTTATAGACTTCTAATATAAAGTATTGTTAGTAAGAGATAGATTTAATAAAAAAAAAGTAGTATAGGTGGGGTTGGTAGGAAAGAGAAATAATAAAATATTTGTGAAAGTGGGGTTAGTGGGAGAGAGAAATTATAAAATAATGGCGGGTCCTTTTCAAATATAGTAGTATTGCAACTAATATAAAACGGTCGAAAATGAAAAGTGTTGCAACTAATGCGAAACGGAGGGAGTAACACACAGTTGCTTGTTATTGGAATATACGAGATGATCCTAGGGAGTTAGCTAAAGTAAATACTAGTATAATATCCGATATATCTAGAACTCTTACCTAGAAGCATATTACACATATTTTGTATCCATATTGTTAAATACGGGTTTGGGCCGCACCCGTAAATCAAGAGAGAGAGAGTCCATTTTAAAAGTCTAAAGGAGGTTCCATCCCACAAGCATATGACAATAGAAGGAGTACATAGCCCCGACCCTTAGCCTTATAAAGTGATTAACTCTCTCTTCTTCAACCAATGTGGGACACTTACATGTGGTGATATCTGGGAGGTCTATTTTTCAACACTCCCCCTCACATGTAATGACCCTTTTAACTTTGTCTCATGTGATTTTTTGTGTTAGAGTGATTCTTCACTCCCCCTCACATGGACCTACTCTTGGCCCAGTGAACTTTAGCTATTTAGGGTCCCATATCGTGAACCTAACTCTGATACCATGTTAAATACGTGGTCTGGGCCGCACCCGCAAACTAAGAGAGAGAGAAAGTCCATTTCACAAGTCTAAATGAGGTTCCATCCCATAAACCATATGACAATAGGATGAGTAACCCCTTAGCCTTATAAAGTGATTAACTCTCTCTTTTTCAACCAATAATGTGGGATACTTACATGTGGTGATACTTGGGAGGTTTATTCTTCAACTCCTCCCCCCCTCACATGTAAGATCCCCTTTAACTTTGTCTCATATGATTTTTCGGGCTAGAGTGCTTCTTCACTCCCCTTTACATGGACCTACTCAATTTTGCCCAGTGAACTTTAGCCATTTAGGGTCCCATATCATGGATCTGACTCTGATAGCATATTAAATAAGGGTCTGAGCCTTAATAGCACCAACTATAGATTGAGTGTAAAGAATAGCACAACCTTGATCTGGTGCAATCTACATCACAAACTATTAAGTTAGGTGCAAAATATGTCATAAAAGACATCGAAGACCGAAGTTTTTATTATTTAATATTTTTAACCAATTTCACCATTTTTTATTTTCTCTGACTTATATCATACTTTACAGTACTAAGGACATGCCCCCTTTATTATAATTCACCCAATACCCCTTAATTAGTAAAATTAATACTACTCCTTGAAGAACACCAAGGTAAATGAAGACCAAAACTAATATTATCCTAGGTTCACCATAAGACATTCTTTAAATTGTACTATGGTAAATTTTGAAAACTCAATTTCTAACTCTATGCTGAATATATGCTTTTGGTTATTTGTCCTTTTTTTCTTCATAATTTAATGAAATTAGGGTATCAATTGGTGTTATGAAGATTTGTTGAAATTGATGTGTTGCATTGTTTGGATGAATTCTTATAATTTGTGTCATGGGATTCCAATTTATATATATATGACATTAGAAAACTTTATTTTTCCAAATATAATCCATTCATTGTAAATCATCATGAATGTCATTGCAAAATAAGTTAGAGAAAAGTAATTAGGGAGCACGCTATCACAATAAAGTAACTAAATAAATTATAGCTAGAAAATTAAAAAAGGGTAAAAATTGGTTAAAAATGTTAAGATAATAAAAATACACTACTTTTATGGCAGAGTCTTCGGTCTCCGATGTCATTTATGGCATTTTTTGCACCAAACTTAATAGTTGGTGATGTAGAGTGCACCCAATCAAGGTTGTGCTATTCTTTGCACCCAACCTATAGTAGGTGTTATTGAGGCCAATTTTACCAAATTAAAATGCTTACAGACTCACAAATATTTAATACCCCAATTAATAATTCAAATCATAAATCTTCCCTGGTAAAGGTAATCACAATTACATTGATTAAGAGAAGAGAAGAGAGAGAAAGGGAGGGGGGGTTATTAGTCAAGGGATAAGATGACATTCAATTCTCTCCCAAATAAAATCGGTTTTTGTGGATGGAGCACGACAACTCATTAATTTTTTTAAGTTATATTTTTTTTTTGTTCTAGCATGATTTGTTTTTGGAAATAATAAATTCAATAATATATTCATATATATGGCATCTACAAATAAAATCTAACTTTAACAAATAAATAAAAACATTGAATCAAACAAAGATGTCCTTCATTAAAGATATGATTATTGAATAAATCTTGTTCTTTAGTACATTCCCCACATACATTGCTGGAATATAAAACTAATTCGAAAAGACTATATATCTAACAATTCTTGCAGCCAATAGAATGTCTTTCATCAATTCATTTGATAGTATTTGAATATTTGATAACTTTTTGCAATACTCCATGAATCTTTACCAAAAAATCGTTTCTAGGGCAAAAGATTTCCTTCATTAAAGATATGATTATTGAATAGATCTAGCTTACGACAATTCTCTTACGAACAACTACACCAAAAACTGTACACCATAAGGAAAGATACTAAGGGATAAAAAAGTTACTAAGGGAATCTGAGTATTTTTTGCAATTGAATCACTAAGGGGTAGTTAGTGATTGAGTAGCATTTGTGAGGTCAAGTGAGAGTGCTTGTGAGGTCGGTTAAGTGTGAATTGATACTTTGAGTTTAAGTGTGAATTGACACCTTGAGTTGGGTGTGAGATTAAGTGCGAATTGACACCTTGAGTTAGGGATTGAGTAGCATTTGTGAGGTTAACTGTGAATTGATACCTTGAGTTTGTGATTGAGTAGCATTTGTGAGGTTAAGTGTGAATTGACATCTTGAATAGCATTTGTAATTGCTTTTGTTTTTCTAAATTGATTAGTAAGAGTAATTAGGGTATAGAGGACATAGGCTCTGAATTGAGCTAACCTCCGTAAGCTTGGTGTTCTTATTTTTTTTTATTGTTCAAATGTTTCCGCTGTGTATGAACCAGTTTATGTCGGTTCCCTTTTGTTTCAAGAAAAATTTTGTAAGTTCACTAACTGTTACCATACTCGATTGAACCGTTGACCCCTTTTTGAGTACGAGTTGAATTTTCAGTTATCACGGTGGCAGTAATACTTTGGTTATCTTTGAATTTTATGGCTTTTATAAGGATAGAAAGGAGATTTTAAAGGATGGGAATTTTCAGAGTATTACAAACACGATTGGAGGGTGAGGGGATGATGGTAGGAAATTACATACGGAAGACGATTTCGCCCGTATTTGCCTTTACTCAATTTTAAGCGAAATAGTTTATTTGCAATCAAAAGACATACAAACAAGAAGGTTCAATAACTTCAATTTACTTCAAACTAAGTTATTAATATAAGTTCGTTGAGTATTCAATGCACACATAAAATTAATGAATTGTAATAATTACTTCGTTAAACAACTAGATTATTGGGATTCTAAACAAATTGTCCAAAATTATCTTATTAGTGTGAAATTTAAATGCATGTCTTGATTCACCAATAACATAGAGATCATTAAATTTAAACAATCAAAGTAGAGAAAATAAATAGCATGTGACTTTAAATTATGGAAGCAACCTAGTATGCGCAATAATTAAAATAATTCTAATATATATGATACTAATAGTTAAAGCAATAAAAAAAAAAGTAATTAGAGTAAATAAAACTAAGAAAATTAAATTACTCACTTCGAACAAACAACTTTCAATACTACATCACGAAGAAGTTGTTTGTAAAATTCGATAAAGACAATAAAGATTAAATTAAAGAGTTAGTAAACTTGAAGTCCTCTCGTGATTTTACCTTCAGAGGTAAAGCCTTCAGATTTTTTTTTTTTTTTTTTTTTTTTTGTTGACTTCGAATTGAAATACTTGAATAGAATTAGAAATAGAACCTAGGTCGAAGCTTATGTCTATGCCTTTTGGGTTGTTTGGGTTTGAAATCTGGTCATTGGGTAATCGAAATCATCTCCTTGAATATCTAAATATTGGTTGGTATTTATAGACTAAAAATTTTAAGAACATAAATTTTGGGAAACACATTGTGTAGGACAACAGTTTTGCAACTTTTAATTTTATCATAACTTTTGACCCTGAACACAAATAAGAAAAATAATATATCATTGCAAAGATTTACAAATATAATCTCCAACCTAATTAGAATCAGTTAAAAAAAATTCATATATTTTAAGAAATAACAAAAATAGTGTCATGTCGGTTTTGGATCGAGTTTAGTATTTTGCTCATATCTCCTTCACTTCAAATCGAAATTTGGCTTATGATAGATAATTGGAAATCTCATTTTGAGGGATATCCATCCTCATAAGTTTCATTCAAAAATTTTAAGGCTAAAAAATCAGATCAACTCGGTTTTAGGTAGTTTTAATTGGGGAAGGGAATAAGGCTAAGATTTGTGGATTTTGGGCTAATAAAAAGGTTTGGGCTATTAAAAATGCTAATATAGCTTAGATATATAATAATATTGGAGTAGGAAAAATGGCTTTGATAGTTATTCATGTAACTCTTAAATCCATTACACATGCAAATCAGATCAAATTAGGCAGTGGTTTTTTTTGTCATTGGGCCGAGCTTTATTTGGGGAGACATTTTAGGTGTCTACAACAAGTTGAATTAATGTGTTTAGATAACATAAACGATTATACATATCCACAGTAGCCTTTCATTAAGTTATACGGATGATAATGTATATGCTACCTCTATTTCAATTGATTTGCAACGATTTGACATTCACCAATTTCTAGATATATATATTTTTTTTTTAATTTTTTTTTTTTTTGGTGAGTGGTTAATGGATAGAGAAAATACAGTTTGATGAGGATAGAGATAGAAAAAAATGACAAGTAAAAAAGGAAAAAAAAAACATTTATTTTAAATAATTTGTAGTATCCATTTATTTACAATAAACGTTGCAAATTAATTTAAAATGGAGATAGTAAAATCAATCCAATTCTTTATTTGAATCTTATGCTTACAATAATATATATAAGAGATAAAAACAACCACGAAGAAAAACAACATACAACACAGCATCATCCACTAGTATGACAATTCCTTGACGTACTAGCCTCCATCATCCCATCACCATGGTTAGCATTTGGGTTTAGAAAATGAGGATTGTTGCTATTATTTTCCCAATTACAAATACGATACTTAATAGCCTTCATTCTATCCTCTAGTACCCAAATCAAGTCGCCTAAATCGTTCGGGGCGACTTGATCAAGTGTAGATTTCCCAGTCATTATATCGGTGGCCATATTTTCCATTTGCAACTCTCGATTCTTCCTTTGAATTCTTGCCAACTTCTCTTGAGTCTTCTTAACAGTTTGGTTTAGCAATAGTTGTTGATCTAATTGCCTTTCCGATGATTGACCTATCCCATATTTACTTTTGTAATTGTTGATAATTCGTCTTACTTCGGTTTCAGACGAAGGCCACACCACTGGAACCTGCTCATCTTTTCCGTATATGATAGCACAAGCATCAACGTCACATAATACACTCATTTCTTGAGTCTTTTTCGCTAACCCATGTGATCGTTTTGTGTGTGAAACTCTCCTAGAAGAGGCATTTTCTATGAATGCTAATTTCACTTTCTTTCTACCCATTTTTACAGCAAAGTAAAAAGCTAGATTTTTTTGAAATAGAGAGATGATAGGCTTTGGTATGAAAGTGTTATTAATTCTGTTTTAAATGGAATAGATGAATTTTTTTAGGTATAGGAAGTGGTATTTATAGGGGTGGACGAATCACTCTAAATCCTAAAAATTGTAATCATACAATGAGAATCCACTTTATATGTAAAAGACATCAAATGAGATAGCAAATCAAATCATTACAGATGTAATAATGTTTTTTTACCGAGCTAGTTAAGTAGGATAGATATACTGACAAGCTGACTAGGATATTAATTTTAAAAAAATCTTGTACTTAGCTAGCAACATAGTGCGGCCACATTTATTTATAGGAGAAATCATTATTCATTCATATGGTTATCTTTCAAAATAAACTATTCATATGATTAACCTCGTTTATTTATAAGGGTAACAATATAGAATTTTCAATAGAATAAAAGTAATCCCCATTTAATGTACAAATAAATAAAATAAATAAAATAAACCCTTTATTTTTTCGTTTGAGTTATCAATGTATCATCCATCTTTCTTCTATTTTGACTATTAAAAAAATCACTCCACTTGTTTAAAAAGTAATAAATCCATTTTTTTCATTGAAATAACCCATATTCGTCAAGGTTGCACCATTTGATAATCATAGTAACGGAGTAATCCTATTACTCAATTTATTGTTTTAAAAAAAAAAATATAGCAACACCATAAATTACTAGTACGGTATAGCTGATCACATATGAAAATTTGTGATGAATTCAATATCCATTGCATTTAGACAATTGACAATTCATTTAAGTTTTTCTTCAAATGAAGACTATTTCCTCTAAGCTGTTTTTTGACTGGTAGAGGAAACATCATCTTAATAAATAAATTGGGCGAAGCATATATATGAATATATCGCATGTATATTGTTGGATTTACCACCACAAATTCAATTATCCGTTCTAAGTTCCAACATTCCAAGAATGTATGCATTATTGTGGTGTAAGGGAGCACAAACTTACCAAATCACTTATGAGAATTACCACATGTGCCTTACGTGAAATTTATAAAGCACTTAATTTAAAAGTAAAAAACTTTCATTACCAGATAATAGTCGCAATGATCTTGATTATTTATTGTCATGATAACACATCGGGGTAGAAAAAAATTGTCAATAATAGTTCGTTTTAGAAATCAACTTGGAAGAAAATTACACGAGTTTTAGTTCAAAGTTTTTAACTATTAAAGTTGATTAGTATAAAATTGTAAGCACCTAGTTTTGGTCCCATGTCCCAAACGGATGTGCAATGGTGAGACAAAAACTAGCTTTTCAGGCTAGATGAAAGTTAGAGTGTTTATAGATTACAGAATATTATATAAAGTGTTTTGAAACCTTTTTTTAGAACAAATCTTTTTAAAGCCTGATTTGCTTTTTTAATTAGGCCTAAAACGTGTAACACACAATTTTAATTCATTACGGATCTAAACTTGTTTTTCCGAAATTAAATAATCATCTGTTTTTTCCGAAATTAAAAAAATATACCACCTATTAAAGTCAAAATCAGTAGATTTCATCACCCTTCTCCAATTTCGGCTAGTTTTCCGACTTAGGGTATACGTGTCACCACGTGATTGGTCAAAAATAGAAAAAAAATTAAAAAAATTAAAATAAATCAAAATTTAAAAAAAAAATAAAAAAAATTCCCCCTAACCCCAGTCCCTAGCAGCCACCGCCTCCCCCATCTCTTACCACCCCACCCAAATCAGCAACCTACCGGATCACCCCTACCCCAACAAGCCATTACTCTTGTCGGCGAACCCCACCAAGCCCCAACCCTTGTTTGCGAAACCCCACCAAACCCCACCCATTTCCATGAAACCCCATGTCGTCGCTTCCTCACGAAACCCCACCCACGTCGCCGCTTCCTTTACTCATTTCAAGGTTGCATTCTTCAATTTGTTATTTTTTTGAAATTTAATTTTATGTTTTTTAGGGTTTTAATTTGTTGGTTTAATCAAATTCAAATTTTCTAGGGAAGGGAGGGGATTGCTGGAAACGGGACGGGGAAGGGAGGGGTGCCGGAACCGAGAACGGTGCAAGCGAGGGGGTGTCGGAGGTGGCAAAGCTGCCACTTACTGGAGGTGGCGAGGTGGGTTTCGTTTTTTTTTTTAAATTTAATTTTGATTTTACATTTTGTGGGCCCGTAAGACGGAAAACTGGCCGGACTAAATCGGAAAACTAGCCGGAATTGGAGAAGGGTGGTGAAATCTACTAGTTTTGACTTAAATAAATGGTACTTTTTAATTTCGTAAAAAAAACTGGTGGTTAGTTCAACAAAAAGTGTTCTTATGGGTGGTTATTTACAAAAAAATCTTTTAATTAATCCGACCCACCAAGTATTTCTTTTTCATTAAGACTAGATAAGAATTAATAAATTGTTTTATCACTTTAGAGGTCAAGCAAATTTTGTTTATTTTTGTTCTTTTCATGAATTTGGCTACACAAAAATGAAAACATTCATTGCAATGTAATCTTTTGTGGACCTTATTTTAAATAAAATGATTTAACTTAGTAATTAGGCATCATATTGGACAAATTTGCCTAGTGATTATATTGTGATGAATAAGAAGAGCTAGTAGAGGCTGTATTAGGGCAAGTAAGGATGATCGCTTCAAAGAACGACTTTCTAGAACCCTCACTCTCGAACCATCTCTGGTTATAATAAACCTTTGAATGGGAAATTCTTTAAGGGGTTAAAGGCAAAACTCATGCTTCGTGCTAAACCTCCCTCACACACTACTTTGGGGAAGGTTAGTTTCTTCCTTAAAATTGTTAGAGACTCTCAATTTAATTCAATTAAGAAAGGGTAACTTCCTGTCTCCTCTCTAATCCATGTCTCCCAAACAATAAGGAATTTAAATCCTAAATAAACATAAGCCCCGAGCTTTCAAAGGGCTCGAGAGCCAAGGGAGAGATACAACGAGTTACCCTCCTTACAATAAAGCATGTCGTAAAGTTAACTATTTAATTGCGTAGAAAAATTCCAAAAGATAATATGAAAATGAATTCAGATAAAGATTCAAATGATTAGTTTATGTTGGTAACTAGATTGACAATTATGACTCATTAAGCATGACAAATTTAGGAGTATAAATGAGGTAATTTCTCTGTTTTCTTTTAAATGCAATACACCTCTTCGGCACGCACTTTGAGGAAGAGATTAAACAATGTAAACGGAAAAATTAATCAATATAATTTATACACGTAGTAACTAACTCTTTTCTAATTATAGTGTTAAAATTATTTTGTTAAATTCGCTCGTTTGCCTACTCTGATCAACTCCTAAAAAAGCGTCTCAAAAAGATGTGTTACATTTAAAAGAAAACAGAGGAAGTATAAGATTATAAATAAGGTTGCATGCCTTTAAAAACACACAAATAACAATATTATAATGATAAGTCGTATATTATACATGTTTTTAGGGTCTTTTTATTAGTTTCAAGTCTAGTTTAGTTGTTCTTGGCTTAATATAACTTGATTTTTGTTTAATTGTGATTGTATGATGCTTTTGTGGGCAGCTTTGTTATTTTTGGCATATTTCAGGGAAAATGAGGCTATTTTGCGGATTTTATGGAAATACGCATCTTGATTAAGGCTCACGAACCTTCACAAAGCTTGATGATTGAGGTTAAGGTCAAGAAGAAAAAAAATTCAGTATGACACGTCTATGTTGCCCATGACATGAATGTCTCAATGAAGAAAAGAGAGGCAGTAAACAAGTTAAAGGAAAAGACCAGTCAGGCATGTATGTGTTAGGTAGGGCACGTTCGTGCCCAAGTGAGTGCAATCCATGCCTCATGCTAACATGGACGTGTACCGACGAGCAATATGCGCACAACAAGAGCAGGTACATCCGTACGGGATCTTAGGAAGAGTGTTGCCCAGCGGGTCTGGGGTTGTTGTATATATATAGGGGTGAGAAAATCCGGTATTCGGTCAAAATTTTAGGAACCAGACCCGAAACTAGTTAGAACTGGGTTCTAAAATTCGAAATCAGAATTGGAATTAGTTCAATCGAGTCCTAAAATTTAAGAATTGGAATTGGAACCACTGGGTACCAGTTCCGGTTCCGGGTACCCACTTATTTATGTAATTGTTAAAATATAATACAAATTATAATACTTATTTTGATTATTTTCATTTTTAGCGTTTAATACTTATATTTATATATGCATTAAGCTATTTGTATTTATGTTAGGTATTAATAAATAATTTTATTTTACTAACTAGTTACATTCAGCATATTTTTATTACTTTAAATTTATTAAGTTTAGCATATATTGGGTAATTGGGTACCCAATTGGTTCAGTTCCCAAAAGTTGAGAATTGGAATTAAAACCGGTTTTAACCGGGTCCTTAATTTATTACCTGGAATTAGAACCACCGAGTCCAATTCCGATTCTGAAGCCGCTGGTTCCTAGCCGGTTCTGGTTCCAATTCCGGGTACCCAAAATTTTTGCACACCCCCATATATATATAATGTATAATGTATTGTTGTTCAGTTGGTTAATGAAGTGCTATAAAAATGTAATGTTATATTATTCGGTCGGAAACCCCTAATTTCTTGTGTGGATTGGGGGTGCTCAATTCGCTGTTCTTCCTCTGTGTTCAGTTTGCTGCCGCTCTTTGCTATTCTCCGGCGGCTCTACAAGTTCATCGGTGACACTCCCGTATCACCGGCGACGATTTTTCCAGTCAGTTTTTCTACTCCATAAGATTAAAGCTTAGTGTTTCTTCTCAATTCAGTGGTTTTTACGTAAACTCATATACATAAGCTCTGTAATTAGAGTTTTTAGTTTCTTAGCTCTGTTTGCTTTCCCTAGTTTGTCGATTGAAATTTCCTTGGTTTTCCCTTTCCCTCTTTCAATTGAAATGACTTCACCTCAATATTCTGACTTTCCAAGCCAGTAACAGTCTTGTTACAAACCCCAATACT